CCGAAAAGGGCATTATATCTCATATCACCTTCGATCACGTGAAACTTTGTTTCCTGGATGGTTTCGGCCACGTTTATCGGTAGGGTAATCTTGCCTTTGGTGGTTTCACATTCCATATTGAATCCGTTTAAAACTAGAGATGCGGGTACGACCTGATCGTGCAGGCCGAGCTGTTCTACGATCCTCGATCTGATGATATTGGCCGAGCTACCTGGATCAATTAACAGACGCTTAATCTTAGTTTTATTCATGAGTACGGATATTACCAGTGCATTGTTATGGGGTTGTATGATTCCCTCTGTATCTTCGTCACGGAAGGACAAGGTCCCTATGGGTGTATAATCTTTAGTTCAAGATCGCTTGTCCCTCATAATCGATGCTTTAGCGCGTTTAAGCATCGGTCCCTGAGGGGCATCGACGCCGCCGCCGATCATGTGAATGACATATTGCGGTTCTTCTGGCTCGTTTTGCTTGCCGAATTCCTTGTTCCTGAAATGGTTCTTCGCCCTATCACTCAGAAATTCCCGAAGGTGTCCTTTGTTAAATAAGCGGGCCACTTCTTCTCTCAGTTGCTGCAATCTTCCGTTCTATGGCCATGGGTGCCATGATATTCGCACATCTGATTGGGATTTCTTTGGGCAGGATCAGTCTGCATGGGTCGAGGCCATCTGGTATCTTTGATGCATCCGATGGCCGATACGATGGCGGATGTGTCAATGTTGAAGTTATACTCCGATAATCGGGGAACTTCTATAGGATCGACATATTTATCAAAGCCGCTATTGCTCATAAGTCCCCGAGAATTTTGCCCCGATCAGTCCTTCGGTTGTTCCGAACCGTATCACGTGTTGAATCGTTGTTTATGCGATCTGTGCCATACGGTTGCTATCGGTCTCTGTTTGACCCTTGTTCTCTGTTGATTTCCCTCTGATATTTAGTGGTTGTGTGCTTCTAACGTACGGGCCCATACAGAGCTCCCAATTGATCATATTCGACCTTGATTTTTGATTGGTACCGGTTGTGTACATCTACCCAAGTTATTGCTGGGTACTCGATCAAATTTTGTTTTAGCCGACGTGATGCTGTCGAACTTAGCCCGTTCAGTCCTTGGGTGACAGCTTGTACGGTCCAATCGTCTGTGACCGGTGGCAAGTCCATACGTTCCATTTGAAATCAGGATACGAATTTCCTCAGCATTTCGTTACCCCTTTGTTTTACTTTGAAGAGGTCTAATATTCTTGTTGCAACCTTTATGGAACCACCATGTGCTTTTACGAACGAATCTGCCAACATGGCAAAAGAATCAATGGAATGTTGTGGTAAGTTGTGATACCAGATCATTGCTCCCTTTGCGAGGGTCTCTCCGAACTTTTTCAACAACACAGATTCGATCTCATCATCCTCCAAATCGTTTCCCTTATTGTCACATGTGTAGGAGGTGACGTGTTCGTTAGGGTCAGTCGTACTGTTATATTTGGGAATTTCGGGCATACGGAATTTTTTTGGGATTAGTTTTGGGGCCGCGCTCGAGGGAAAAGGTTTTTTGTGAATTTTTTCGAATCAAGCCCCTTTATCATTGGTGGAGCCCCAAGGATTTGATCGACCTTGGCATTGTATGTTTTCACCCTCTTGTCGTTGGCTTCGACTCATTTTGTGAGTTCCTCGAGCAATTTAGTAATTCCGGGAGTAGTCCCCGATTCTTGCTCGTTAGATTTTACTATGGCGGGCTCTGTTCTGGGGGTGACTTCTCGAAGTGGGTTGGAATCCGGCCTGCTTTGTGCACGAGTCTGGCTCTGTAGCTGAGCTATAGCTACTTGTTGGGCTTGCAGCATTTCGAAGATCATACGTAAGCTAGCCCCGATTTCCCCCGCGTTCTGGGTATCTCGGACTACAGATCGAGTACCGTCCTGAATGTTTCTTTCCGGTTCGGAACGCTGGTTCGCCTCCAAAGCTATTTGTGAATTGACATCCAATGGTATTCCGACTCGAATTTCGGGTGCTTCGATTCGAGCTTCGGGTGCCAAATTGTTGGTTTCATCTTGAAGGCCGACTTCGAGGTCGATAGGTAGAGTCATTGCTGATTTGAAGTTATAAGCTGGAGTGTACTGTAGATTTATATCAAACAATCACTGTTACCCTTAGCTCCACGGTGGACGCCAAACTGTTTACCCGAAAAATCGGAAAACGTTGAATTTAGATGTGGTTCTAAGGATACGTAAATTCTTTATGATACAAAAATGACAATACCAGTATTTTGCTGTAAAATGGGAATAATCAATAGGAAGGCTCAATGAGCAACATGAACTCTTAATGTATCTTGGGGAGGATCAGTCTATTACAATCTATATCCCTTTTTATAATAGAGGGTCACTACTTTATCTATAATAAAATAATGCATATAGTGAAGAAATCATGATGGTTTGTCTCTTCCTTGATTCCTGCCAAGATTCTTTCCCTCGGTGCGATTATAATGACTTTTGTCGGCGAGCTCGGTACTGGCTCGGGCTTGGTGTTAGGTCGAACCCCTGGTCTTGGTTCGAGTTCACTCTGCCTTGGGGCATCGATATTCGGGGCCTGTGCTAGTCGGAGTTGCTTCGTAATTCGATTCGGATACGGGCTCGATAATGATACCGAGTTTTTTCGTCGATCGGTCTTATAGCTCGAAACTCGGCGCCCTTACTTCGGAATTTGTCCGAGCTGGTTATGTGAATACCCTTTGATCGAGACGTCATCGTTAAAGTCAGTCTTTATGACCGAGAATCGGTTTTGACCGTACACAGGGTTAACGGACGGGATTATTCAACCATACTTAAATCTTTCATCTTTTTAATTTGGAACTTTTGGGGACTAAGCGTGCTGCTTGCAGCTGTTTCCATTTTGTTTTTCCCTGCCCGGTATCCGTTATTCGATTTGGGCTGAGCCAGTAGTGAAACCAAGAATTTTACAAAGGATGTTCAAGGTTTAATATATATATTTATGAAAAATAATTGTTGACTATACATAGTATAATTTTTTATATATTCAATGTAATTTTCAAGTTAAACCCAATTTAAGAGAAGATGCAGGAAATCTGCATAGCGGGCTTTGTTTAGTGCTTGAAGAAACCAACATGGGAGTAATTAACACAAGCAAAAGTTAGGTAGTAAAAAGGGTTTATCTAAATTGACTATTTTAATTGTAATTCACCTCAAAATTTCAATGCAGAGATATTTTCTAAAGCATATTCCAAGCTTCAAGAACAAGTTTAATATCTCATAATTTATCTATTTAACTTAGAAGAAAAGGGCCAATGAGTTGAAACAGTGTCGACAAAAATGAATGAGTTGATTTAAGTTCCGTAAAAACTAATAATGAAAAAAGATTAAACAATTCAAAAATATCATTTGAATGACGATGATGTAATAAGATCCTTTTCTACCCCAAAATCACAATTTTCCGCAACGAAATTTTATGGTCATCAATTATGCCATGTTAATGCTGAATGGTCATTTAAATGTCAACATTGCTTACGAAATTTTTTACATAAGCCACTGATGGAACACATTGACTGTGGACAGGTGACGCTGCTGAAGGCTCTCATAATTTTATTAGTAACATTTATTTGGTCACCTTGTTACTATGAATTTTGAAATCAGGAAACCCTTAAGCTAGTTTTACCCATTATAAGAGAAATGTCACATGAATTATCTTTTCCTACATTTTGGAAGCAAAAATTACGGAGATAAAACAATAGAATTCTGTTTTCTTTTCCAAAGTGGGAGATGGAAAAAAAAGAAGCAGCAGAATAAATTACACTGATGATTCAGCTAAGAGGATGAAAGATTTTTGGTAAGAGCTAAAGCATTACTAGTTAACTGAGCAACATTAACAATGTAATTCCTAATAGTGGCCTTAACTTTCTCATTCATGTTACCATTGCCGTCAAATCCATCCATACAAGTATCTTCATCTGTCAAAGCAGCACTTACCCAAGTCATTACATTCCCCATTTTCTCTTCAAAATCAGGACCATTCAAATTCTTCATTTCTAACAAAGATTTCTGAAGTTCGTCTACAGAATCCTCCATGTTTTCCACACAGTCCGTTAAGGCATGTGTTTCTGCTGGACCCAAGTCTTGCTCTTTGGACATTTTTGAAATTTTATTTGTTGTTGATTTAGCCCCTTTTAGGCTCACTGTAAGTGCTGCATTAGCCAATTCTTTAGGGTTTGTTTGGATGGAATTTGAGTATGGTGAGAGTGTTTCAATGCACAATTTGGTGTACAATGTTGTACCACAAGAGTTCGTAATGAACTCAGATGTATTGATTTCTGATTTCTTGGCGAGGTTTCTTGTTGCTGTTGCTGAGCATATCAAAGCGGATGTTATTAAAATGAAGTAGAAAAAGGAAATGCGAATAGATGCAAGGCTATGGCAATTAGGACAATGTAGCAATGAAAGAGCAGAGGAATCCATATCCAAATGATGGGGCAAAAAGGATTTGGGATGAATGGTGTGGAAAAGGTCCTTTGCACTTTATTATAAAGGATACACTGTTCCTACTTTATTTTAATACTTGTTGTGCATTTCCATGTTATGGGGCTCATTATACGATCACGGGTTTTGGTTTTGATATATTGATTGTTATATAAAAAGGAAAAGCAAAAAGTGGATAGCACGGATTACTTAAAGTGGACGATATTAAACGAATTAATATTCTCATCCCGAATATCTATTAATACAAAGAAAAAATTATCCTATACATCAAACATATACATTGTATTTATTATTTGTAGTTGTACTTTCAGAAAATTACTTTCTGTAATTATATTTAAATTTTATATCAAATCTAAGAAACAAGAGATTAATCGTTTTGAATTGAAACAAGAGTGCAACAAGGTCTCGTACCTCAGTTGGTTAGATCATTTACTTAGTAAGTGGAGTTCTTGAGTTCAATTCTAAGCAATAACATTATATTTTTCTGTATTTCTGTTAGATCGCCTGCTTAGTAAGTAAAGGTTTTGAGTTCAATTCTAACATTATATTTTTTGTATTTTTGTATTTCACCTTCGTTACGCGAACGAATACATATGTATATATAGTCGATACAGGTATTCGTTGCTGATCCCAATCAGTCCAACTCACCCATTTGACACCCCTACATGATACAACAAGAGACTAAAAATTGAAATAGACTAAGGGAAATTATTACTATCTCTAGGAAACACATCCACCGGTATGAATGGCCGAAGGATTGCAAGTCCAAAGCTTTCTGGCCGGAGGTCAATAAAGTATTGGCTTCTTTCAGTTTTCTTTAAGAGTTCAAGTTTGGTAAAAAAATATTTACATAAGACAAATTATAAGTAAATCTCTTTTACCGACTAAAACTTAAACCCCAACATTGATAGGTAAACTAATAAAAATGACAACTCACCTACTATCACAAGTGAAGCTACATCAATCCCGGCTAGAAATTCGGCCAAAACTGACCGCGGCCGACCAACCGACTTTGATCGGTCAAAAAACGGATCAAAGTCGGTTGATTTTTTAAAATATTTTATTTTTAATTTCTTTTACGAAATCGATCAACTTCGGTCGGTTTCTATTTTTGGCGCAAAAATACGGAAAATTAATTTTGCGTCGCGCCAAAATTTATTTTTCAAGAACTCGACCAACTTTGGTTGATTTTCATTAAAAATTTTAAAATTAATATTCAACAAATCGACCGAAATCGGTCAGCTATTTCGGTCGGTAATTATTTTTTTAAAGTATTTCGGTCGGTTATTTTCACGCGAAAATACAATTAAAGAGTATAAAAAAATAAAAGAGAGTCTTAAATTAAAATGCAACAATGGTCAAGTAGTAGAATAATATCCTGTCACTGTACAGACCCCGATTTAATTCTTAGATGGTGCAATTTTAAATTACATAATTAATCGATCGATTTTTTCGACAGATTTTTTCTTTTTTGGTCGTTTGTGAAATTTAATTGACCGATCGAAATTGATTGAAAAATATCGACCGAAGTCAGTCGGTTGGCTCTACCGACCACACGATTACCGACCGCCACGAATCGGTCGATTTTAGATCGATTTTTGTCAATTAGCGACCAATATCGGTCGGTTTTGGCAATCGGTTTCCCCTTTTTCTTTAGTAGTGGATAGTATAATTGTTCACCCGAAAAATGGATAGAGTTGAATTTATACGCAGTTCCGAAGATATATGGTACAACTTAATACCAAATACTAGGATAAATAAAAGGATGAATATATAAATAAAAGGATGAATATAGGTTGGAGAAAACGTAATCCAGGCGAATCAATTATGAACAGTAAATTTAGGATTTTACAAAATAGAATCAATCTCAGAAACTAGAAAGATCACTCTTTACTTATAGAGAAAATAATACAGTTTTTGATAGTCTAAGTCTCCAGAAAAAAGATGCCCTACAAGAATGATAAACAAGCCCTTTTATAGTGAAGGGGTTTGACCACAAGTATAATAAAATAAACATTCAGTGGGAGACCCATGATAAATCAGCTTTTCCATAATTTCTGCCAAGATTCCCTCTAGTGGGATTACAACGGCTTTTGTCTGCGAGCTCGATCTTGCTTAGAATCCTCGATTTTGGTTCGAGCTTGATTTCGGCTCGAACTCGTGATCTTGGTTCGAGCTCGATCCTGGTTCGAGCCCTCGGATGGATTCCAAGTCGATGTAGGTTGGTTTTTGGATTATCAGCACGATAGATCTACCCGCGCCGTGGTTTGATTCTTGTTCGAGTTTGATTATGATATCGAGCTCAACATGGACCGGCCTCCCCGGGCTCCAGGTTAGTTCGTTCCCCCCTTCGGGATCTTACTTCGATATACCACCTTTCGAACCGTACCGGACATGCCAAGGCTGAAATTCATTTCGACCATATACAGATAGTCCCCTCGTTTCTCAGAAAGAAATATGGCGAGAAACGATATGATTTTCAACCGCTCAATCGGATTATATCTTGTCGATTCCATCAAGTTCGACCATGACGCACGTGATAGATGTCCTGTCGGTTTAGTCTTTCAAGGCATTTAATGAATGTTAGGCTGTGGTCGGCCACTGCTGATAATGAACCGCCGTCGCTTTGAACCTATAAATAACTCTCACCTTTATCTTTTACCATTTTTGCATCTTCTATCTTCTAACATTTCTCAATTTCTTCTTTATACTGTCCAGCCTACCAAAAAAACTGTGATTTCTTTCCGAAAAGACCCCTCAATTCTACCAAATCTCTATCACTTTCTTCTACTCCTTATTTTTGAATTCAAAAATGGCGAAAATATCGCAAACCGTTTCTCAGAAAGAGAAAGCTTCATCTTCACATTGTGTAGCCGATGAGACACCGGCGGAGCCACGACCAGAGGAGTGTGTCCCCGAGGCGTGAGTCCTTACTTCAGATTTTAAAGTTGATAAAGGTTCATCGGTCCCTGGCCGATGTGAGCCGGTATCGAGGTACATGTGTTCGATTACTGGGAAGCACCTTGATCTGTTAAAGAAGGACTGCAATTGGGAAAAAAGAAGAAGTGATAATACCTACCCCTGACGATGACATCACTTCTCACGTGAAAGGGTTTTTGAACGTATATACTTACCCTTTCACTTTGGGTCCCCTCGATTCCGTCGTTATCAACTTCTCTCGATAGTATTAGGTAACCTTAGGCCAGGTCCATCCTTCTTTGTGGCGGATCGTTATTCTGATCTGATATTTCGTGAGCAAAATCGAGGGGATGTCGTTCACCCTCGATCATCTTATCTGGCTGTACCGTCCCCGACTTTTTTGGGGAGGGTTAATAAAACTCCAGCGTCGGGCTACCAAGGCTTTGTTCTCGAGTATTGACGAGGACAGGGACCAGGATTGGATGAGCAGGTTCGTTCGAGTAAGGACTTCGGACCTGATCCCGACTGAAAAGATGCCCTTTCCCGAGGAGTGGAATTTGAAACGTAAGTGTGATTTTGCTATTGCTTCTATTTTGTTCTTTCATTTGTTCTCTTATCGACACTCTTTTCGTGATGTAGCGATTCCCTGGATGCCCGGAGCGGTTCCCGACCTCAAGAATTGGGTACGAGATCTTATTTCGACTTTCACATACGCAGAACGCTCATGGCGTGATTTGTCTAAGGGTCGGTGGGAGGCCAAAAATCATGGTAAGTTCATTTCTCGGACTCTGACGAGGCATTTTTCGATATTTTTTATAAGGTTTCCCATATGCAGGTTTGGGTAAGGACGCAGTCTTGAGACCTCTGTCTAATGAGGAGGATGTCTCAACCTTCGTTCCAAAGCCAGTGAAGGAAAATAAAAGGAAGAGAGCTTCGTTGCCCGAATATCCAAAACCGAAGAAGAGGACGGCTCGTAAGCCGAACAAGAATGTTATTCCTTTGACCGTAGAATCCGTTTTGCGCCTAATGGATGAAGAAGAAGAAGAAGAAGAAGAAGAAGAAGAAGAAGAAGAAGAGGAAGTGGATAATGAGCCCACGCTGGCGGTCCGGACGAAGAGAGCCACCGATGCTTCAACGCCGGCTGGATCGATGATGCCCTATGGGGCTCCGTCTCGAACTGAAAATATACCGGAGAGAGGTTCTGGTAGAGTACCCGAACTATCGGATGTCGAAGACGCCTCTCATCGAAATCAACCGGCAGGGGTTATAATCGAAGAGCCCTTCGAACCCCTCCAAGCCGAGGGGAATTCTCCAAGCGAGTCACTTGGGGCAGCAACGATCGAGGACTCGCCTACCTTTCCCGCTTTTTCTGCAGGGGTGATTCAGGAAGCTCAAGCTCTGGGGGCCCTCGATCTAGGTAGGCCTCACGATGAAGAGGATCCGTTTCGTGACCTGTTTACTGGTATCGAGGATGTTGCTGGTGCCGGTGATGAATCGGATCTTTTTCACGGTTTGCGGCAGGCTTTGAACCAGGTGAGTCTTTTAAAAATCTTTTTGTTGGTATTGACTTTATGTTCGTCTTTCGTTAACTTCGCTTCTTGTTCTTTCGTAGGCTGCGGCGGTCCATCGAGAACAATATTTTCGCTCCCAGAATGAGCTGCATCGATACGCGGCCGATCTGAAACGTGCTACCGATGAGAGGAACTCTCTCAAACTTTCCTTAGGGCAGAGAGAGGAGGAAATAAAAGATCTCCGGGCCGAGCTTGCCAAGGCTTATCGAGACCAGAATGATTTTTCTAAGCAGGTAATGATGCTTTTGAAAACCTATGGGTTCGATACCAGAACAATAGCTAACATTTCGGTCTCACAGCTGCAGCAAAAAATCGAGATGATAGGGAAGCTGCGTGAGGAGGTCGATGTGATAAGGATGGAATCCTTGCGGTGGAAAGAAGGTATGGACCACTTTGCTGCAGAAAAAGAGACTGCTCGAGCCCAGTTATCATCGTCTGAAACCCAACTTTAGAAAATGAAGGAAAAAGGCGTGGTTAAGCAAGAAAAATTAAGGAGCTCGAGGCTCGGTTGGCCTCAGTACTCGCCAAGGCCGAATCCGATGCTGAAACGGA